GCCCCAGCACCCCCAGCCCCAGTCCCTCTCTGTTGCAAAGTACAGCAACCAGCCCATCTACAAGGGGCAGGGACAGGACCATGGCAGAACCCAAGCCAAATGCCAGCCACAAAAAGAAAATGGAAAAAATCTTCCCACAGTGGAAAGACGAGGTTCTCATTGCATCCTGCCCGCCTCCTAACAGAGCCACTTGCCTTCCGACTTCCAGGGGGCCTGCCGCCCTGCTCTCTGGGTCGCGGGTTGGGAGGTGGTGTCACCCCTCTTCCCGCAGCTCGAGCACACTGAGACCCAAAGGCAAAGCAAGGTGCCTCCCCAGGCTGGGCTGCCACTCCCCAGTGTCAGAGGCTCCAGGCAGCACGGACCTGGAAGACCAGGAGAGAACGCAGAGGAAAGGTGTCCCCAGTGAGCGAGTGAGTGTGGAGGGTGGGCCAGGGGAGGAGGGAAGGTGTGTAGATCACACAGGATGTAATATGTGATACAATGGGAAAGAATAAACAATATTAAGTAATACTAGCCCATTTGCAGGGCCTTTCCTATATGCTGTGAAGTGTTTTATAGTCAATATTTCATTTACTTTTCCAAACAACTCAGTGAGGGCAGCATCTATGTGCCCCTTTCACAGATGGAGACACAGGCCTACTGAGTCGCACAGCTCGTGAGTGGTCAAGCTCCAGCACTGAGATCCGAGGCCCCTGGGGCTGCAGAACAGAAAGCAAGGGAACTGGTTTACGGCAGAGGCTGCGCCAGACACAAAGAGCCTCTGACAGGGGGCCTCTGGGTTGCAGTCAGGGTGACAGGCGTGGAGAGCGCTCCCTCTGAGGGTCTTCGCAGTCACGATGAATGGACGCCTCTGTGTCCGGCTGGGGGGAGGGAAGCGCTGTGTTCGCAGCACGGGCTGGCGGCGGGACTGCCTGCCAGCCTCCCTGGGCACAAGATTGCCCCCATGCAGCCGTTAGCTCACAGGAGGTAGCACAGGGTGTGCCCACGTGGGCAGGCAGAGCGCAGGGCTGTGGGCAGGCAGATGCCACTGTGGTCAAAAGTGAGAGCGTGCGGCCAGGGGCCTTGTGTTTTTGGTCCCTGCTGGCTCTCCTGCTTGTACGGCCTTGAATACGTTACTGAACCTCTTTAAACCGCATTTCCTATCAGTAAGGAGAGGCTAAGAATAGAACCTGCTCTGGAGGGTGGCTGTGAACATGTTTTAAAAGATGATACGTGTAAAGTGCCTGGCACAGAACTTGAACACAATAAGGATGCAATGGATGGGCGTTGCTATGACAATTGTCGGAGTTATTGCTGGAGTCAGAGGCGGGAAGAGCTGATCGGGTCCAATCCAACGGAAGGAGTAGGGACAGAGGTCGGTTCACAGAGTGGAGTGACACTTCACATTTCCTAACTTAAAAGGAAAACCTAGTTTGATCTGCAGTTTAACTAAATAAGACGTTGATTATGGGGGAAGAGGTGGTAGAAAGAGAGGAAGTGGAACCTTATCTCCAAACCCAGAATTTAAAGAGACAGAGACCGCCGGAGGGACCTAAACAGGAACCCAGACACAGGGGGCTCTCTGCTTCCTTCTTCTGGGATCCCACTCGGGGGAAGGGGACGGACTCGGGAATATGGCGGGGCAGAGCTGATTGATGAAGGAAGGGGCACAGAACCTGAAACAGGGGAGTGAGGAAAGGTCCCCGACAGGTGAGGCCCTGATGAGAGTGGGGACTCCCGTAGGAAAATGTAGGGTCAGGGTTTTCCCACCGGTACCCCGTCAGGCAGGGGTGTCGCTGTGAGACGTCTCTCTCCAGTCCTGCGAGCTCGGGGCCTCTGGGAGAAAAGACTGTTTTGTGCCAACCCAGCCTTCCCCAACGCTACGTGTCTCCGGGTGGAGGTGAACTCCAGGCCGCCCGCTTTCCAGGAAAGATGTTCGCTCTATATCCTCTATCCCTAACCCTCAGCAAGTACCAACTTCCAAACCCTTATATCAAGTATCACTGGGGATTTTGTTAAAAAACACATTTTCAGGGTTTTCCCCAAGGAGTTTAATCGGCTAGATTTTGGGACCAGGGTTTGTTTTTTTAATCTATTTTTATTATTGATTTCAGAGAGGAAGGGAGAGGGAGAGAGAGATAGAAACATCAATGATGAGAGGGAATCATTGATCAGCTGCCTCCTGCAGGCCCCCCACTGGGGATGGAGCCCACAACCCGGGCATGTGCCCTGACCAGGAATTGAACCGTGACCTTAACCACTGAGCCACGCCGGCTGGGCCGGGACCAGGTTTTTAACAGGCACCCAGTGCATGCTCTTGGTGAGGCAAGTTTCTAGGTGAGGCAAGCTCAGAAAACCCCAAGTAGGTAAGCCCGAGGCCCCTCCGTCTGAACGCAGGCAGCGCGTGTGGGGGAAGAGCCCTGAGTGGGTGGCGAGCGGCGGTTCTGGCCTGACTGACCCCGCAGTCCAGGGAAGCGGGCTCTGCTCTGGGTGCCCGTTGGTATCTTCCGTCCTGACAGCAGCCTGTGCTGGGGGAGCTCTGGAGGGGACGGAGGCGCAGGGCAGAGGGTGTTTACTTATCTGCACTCCAGATCTCAGAATAAAACTTGGGGACACAGCACTGACCCGTGTGGCTCAGTGGATAGAGCGTCAGCCTGCGGACCGAAGGGTCCCGGGTTTCATTATGGTCAAGGGCACAGGCCTGGGTTGCAGGCTGGATCCCTGGCCCTGGTTGGGGCACCTGCAGGAGGCAGCCAATCAGTGATTCTCTCTCATCTTTGACGTTTCTCTCTCTCCCTTCCTCTCAGAAATCAATAAAAATGTAAAAATAAAAAACGTGGGGACACAGAATAAACAGAGTGACCCATGGACATCAGGAAACAAGAGTCCAAGCATCACCTGGGCTTCCTCTAGCTGGGACTGGGCCCTCAGCCACTCCCACCCTCCCAGGGGACACACAGGCCCCAACCACACAGATCACCAGGGGAGGCAGGCAGCCAGCCCCCGGCCTTCACCGAGTCCATTCTGGGGGGCATGGCAGGGCAGTCCTGCTTTCTTGGGGGCTGTGGAGACCCCTGATGGTGGAGCCCCAGTGTCCTGAGTCCCTGGGCAGTCTCCAGAGTGGCCTGGAATCTAGCCTTTCCCCGGATGTGCTCATAGTGACAGAGAACGGGGTCGCAGAGCGGGCAGGACGGAGGAAGGCCCCGAATGGGGAGGGGGGCCGGTGGGAAGCAGCCGGGCAGGGGCGCGGCTGCGGCCAGGGGTGCCCTCACCTCCCAGGATGTCGCCCTGAGGGGCATGGAGCAGGCAGCAGCCTCAGCCCCTCTCCTTCCAGGTTAGAGAGGCGGCCGCGAGGGGAGGTCTGGTTTCGCAGGAGCCTTTACAATCCGCTTTGTCAGAGACTCAGAGACCAAACCAGACCCGACCCCTCCCAGCCCCACGACTGCATCCACGTGGCACCCGGACCAGCCAAAAAGGGGGCGGGTGAGAGCCCCAGCCCCGCCCCTGCCGGGAGGCCGGGATTT